AGTGTTTATCTATTTTTTCTATCATCTTTTTTTATTGTTCGGTACTTTTTTTTTTTTTTAATTTCTATCACTTTTTTAGTGACAAATATCACATTGTAATAAAAGTGATATTATATTTCATTTCACTTTTTAATGAAAGTGATATTATATGTCATTCTTTTTTATTAAAAAGTGATATTAAAAGTAACATTACACTTAACTTTTTATTAAAAAGTGATACAATTCACCCAAAAAAATGATCGGTGTTTCGTTACTTTTTTGAGTTTTTATCATTTTTTTTATAATTTCTGTCATTTTATTGAATTGATTCCAAAATTTTGATTTGTGTTTATTCACTTTTTTTAGTCGTTACTTTATTAAGCTGATTCTAAGGTATTGATTAGTATTTAACCACTTTTTGAATGTTTATCAAATTTTGGAATTTTTGTGCCTTTTTAAATTTTTGTCACTTTTTTCCTATCATTTTCTTAAAATTTTTGTCACTTTTGTAGTAACAAACATCACTTTTTAATAAAAGCGATATTGTATATCATTTTTTAATAAAAAAGAAATACTTGATTTTAAAAAGCGACATTGTGTTACTTTTTAATAAATAAAAAAGAGTGATACTGTATTTTTTACTTTTAAAATACTTTTTATATGATTTTTCAAAAGGCCCCCTAATTTTAGAAATATTGTTGTAAGTTGCCCTTTTTTTCTTCTCCCTCTGAACTTTTGAATTTTCTCTCGGGTTTCTTTACGAGATTGTGATATATCTCAATCGCGTAAATTTATGATTTTCTTAAACATTATGTCCTATCTATAAAGAAATTTGATAACCACCTTTTATAACCATCCAATTATATTTATATTAAAAATAAATTAAATTTAATCATAATTTCTAAAAAGTAGAATGGATTTTTTTAAATAGAATCAACTTTAATAGACTTTAGATAATAGTAGACATAAATAGGCTAATTATGAAATCAACCGGTCCGAAAAATTATTTTCATGTATACAAACTTTGTTAAATAAAATATTTCGGACTATTCTCATAGTACATATTTTAATATAGACGGTAAGTGATTTCCTCCTAACTACGGTACAAATAACTTTTTTTAATAATTTTTTTTCGAGTAATCTCACAGTACATATATATAACACAGACACTGAACTTGTTTTTGTTCCTTAATATTATTCAACATATTGCCGAACCTACTACACTGGACAAAATTAGTTTGTTTCATCATAATTCTATAATTATAATCTAAATAAAACCACAAAACTAATTGTAGAGTTTATAATGTAGTGAAGAAATG